ATGTTTAATTTCTATATTTGCTTCCAGTCCTTGTAGAGAATCTGTTTTCTCACATTTTAATTTTTACTCATTTTTTGTAGTCTAAAATAAAACCTTAAATAATTTTAAAATAAAGAACACTTAGTTGAGATCCAGTATATCTCTAAGAACATCTGTTGTCCTCACACATCAATGAAAACATGGATAGTCATAGTTTTTTGGATCCACAAATTTTTGCCCTAAAAATTCATTAAATTTCCTCCATTATCTTTTTTAGACTTACTTCTACTGAGGAAATTAAAAGACCAAACTGTGTCTTGCTGTTTTATTGGCAACATTTTCTTGCTTAGCTCTTGTAGAATTCTTTGTGTAATTTATTTTTAAGATTTTATTTATTTATTTAAGAGACAGAGATCACAAGAGAGCACGAGCAGGGGAAGGGGCAGAGAGAGAAGGAGAAGCAGACTCCCTGCTGAGCAAGAAACCTGATGGCAAACACTTAACCAACTGAGCCACCCAGGCAAGCACCCCTCTTTGTGCATTTCTGAAATTTAAGGACTTCACTGGAATAATCCTAGAGGTGCATGTCTTATCATTTTTTTTTTCCTAAAAAAGGGAACTCTTTAAAAGACTTGGGTCTTTTTTCACCTCAGTAAAATTTTCATATATATTAGTTCACTGCACATGATCTGTTTATCTCATCTTTTTTTTAATTATTTATTTATTTGACAGATAGAGATCACAAGCAGGCAGAGAGGCAGGCAGAGAGAGAGAGGAGAAAGCAGGCTCCCCGCTGAGCAGAGAGCCTGAGTCAGGGCTTGATCCCAGGACCCTGGCATCATGACCAGAGCTGAAGGTGGAGGCTTTAACCCACTGAGCCACCCAGGCACCCCTATCTCATCATCTGCTTTTAAAGGAACATATATTGGTAATACTTGGGCTCTCATCTTTGTCCTCATCTCTCTTTATTTCTCTTTGTCCTTTTTTTTCCTACATTTTGGGAAAGCGTCTCAAATTTGTATTCTGAAACACTGATTTGATTTTCTGCATCAAGAAGTCTGCTCTATACTGCCCCCCCAATGGTTTTTATTTGAGTTGCTGCACTTCTAAATTTGGGGTTCCTTGAAGGCTTTTCTAGCTTGTTTTCTTTTCACAGTCTGTTCTTGTTTCAATTTAGCCTGCTTTCTCTTTTTTAATAGCTTGTATTTCATAGACATGGATTTGAGATATAACATATCTATTAATATGCATAAACCTTAACTGTACCACTCAATAGAGTTGTACATATAAATACACTCATGTGAACGTTGCCCCAATCAATTATAGAATACTTTCAGCACTCCCAAATATTTCCTTATTCTTCCTATCTGTAAATCCCTTACCAAGCTTAATTAATATTCTGATTTCGATCACCATAAGTTGGTTCTATCATGATTAGATTAGGTTATATGTTTTAGAATTTCACAGAAATGGTATCATATAGTATATACTCTTTTGTGACTGACTTCTTTAGTTTTTATAGATTTTTGTGACATTTTTTATTATAGTAAAATATATATAACATAAAATTTACCATTTTAACTATTTTAAGTGTACAGTAAAGTGACATTAAGTATACTCACATTATTGTTCCACCATCCATCCATCTCCAGAACTTTCCATCCTCTCAAACTGAAATTCTGTATCGATTAAATACCTACTTCTCATTCCCTTCTCCCCTCAGCCCCAGGTGACCAATATTCTACTTTTTGTCTCTGTGAATTTGACTATTCTAGGTCCCTCATATAAATGGAATCCTGTAATATCTATTCTTTTGTGTCTGGCTTATTTCTCTTAGCATAATGTCCTCAAGCTCATTTATATTATACCATGTGTAAGAATTTCATTCATTTTTAAGGCTAAATCTTAGCTCATTGTACATATATACTACATTTGTTCATCTACTCATTTGTCAATGGACATGTAGATTATTTTTTTTAAAGATTCTATTTATTTATTTGACAGAGAGAGATCACAAGTAGGCAGAGAGGCAGGCAGAGAGAGAGGAGGAAGCAGGCTCCCGCTGAGCAGAGAGCCTGATGCCATGTGGGGCTCGATTCCAGGACCCTGGGATCATGACCCGAGCTGAAGGCAGAGGCTTTAACCCACCGAGCCACCCAGGTGCCCCGGACATGTAGATTGTTTTTTAAACTTTCTAATGTTTCTTCCTGTTCCTATAATAAATCAGTATTAGATGAGGATAAAGACCCTTCAAAAACAGATTCTTTCCCTTGTGTTTTAGTGCATATAAAAATGTATTTCATACATCCCACTTTTTTCCTCCCGATTTTTTTCAACTTGGAGTTGGGAGAAAAATATTTAGGCCCAGAGTTTGAAAAAAAAGATAAAGTACAGAGTTTTGCTGTTTGGTTCTCTCACCATCTAACTTAGTTACTAACTGACTTGCCTCTAATATTCTGTGATTTGATATACACAGCCTTATGTCAGTTTTTATTGTTTAATAGGCATTTTTCTTGTGTAGTTCCTTTGAAATAGAATCACTTCCCGATTCTCTATTAGAAAGAGGATGTGTAACCTACAGAATGTAACTGTATTTATTCTTTAATGACACTGAGTGGTACATGACAACTTTACCCCTCCCTCAGTTTTCACTACTTTTAATGTTCCTCTACCTCACCTGAAATTCTTTACCTTTGAGAGGACTACATGTACTAAGGTCCCATTCTTTTTATCCTAGCTGATAATGTGCTGGGGATTATAGAAATTGAATTAAGAGACATTGTTATGAAAGGAAGGGACACTCTGATTGTTCAGAAGTCTGTTTCCACACAGTGAAGGCCATGTCTGTCTACCTTTCTCATTTGAGAAGCTCTCTGTTCCCAAATTATGGGTAGCAATGAGGGGAATCATGGGGAAGTTATGATACAGAGTTCCTTCTACCTATTTTCTGGCTGTGCTTTCCTGATTCAAAAGATGCTGCATGCCTAATAGATCAATTCTGTTTCTTGATTTGGCACTATTAAAAACTTAATAGAAATATTTCCAGGAATCTCTCTTATGACTGACTTTTATTCTTTATTTTGGAGTTTGTTGTGCCTTTTCATCTTTTGGTAGTTCTTAGTGAATATTTAGTAGAAATCAGGAGAAGAACTATTAAGTACCTTTATTACTCAGCCGTCATCCTAACCTTAAAGTATGGCTCCAAGATTGTTTAACTTATTTTGTATAATCTAGGTTTTATAAGATACTCAAGGAAGAGCCTCTTCCCCCACTAGCCTGATGCCTTAAATGTAAATATTAAAACAATTTATTTGTGTTAAGTACTTGCCATTGTCAGGAGCCTCATGAAATGCAAAGATTCTCCAAAAGGATAAAATAGGTCAGCATCATTTTGGTTTGATAACTTAAAGTCATCAAGCAAAGCTAGTTTGCTCTGGCAGTGAGGAAGTGAAGCACAAAAGCTCATGACAGCTAGTGTACTCTTGAGGATTCAGACCACCACTTTAAATTAGGCAAGCAGAAACTCTTATACTGCTCTGAACCTTCCCCAGTGCCCCTGGGGCAATCCCTGACAAGTCCTCAGTACCTCCTATACAGAGAATCTCAACTAGTTTATAAGCATCAGAGAAGAGTTGGAAAGCACCATCATATACAGCCAACTGCTGATCAATCCCAGGATCTTTACTGCAAACCAGTGATTCTTTTTGTGTTTTACCAATGTAAATCTTAGTTCTTATGACATGTTATGACATAGTCCATTAGGAAAAACAGATGAAAGTGGACTGCTCTAGGGGCGCCTGGATGGCTCAGTTGGTTAATTGTCTGCCTTTGTTCAGGTCATGATCCTGGGGTCCTAGAATCAATCCCTCCTCCCCCACCTCCGCCAAAATCAGGCTCCCTGCTCAGGGAGCCTACTACTCCCCTTCTGTCCCTCCCCCACCACGCATGTGTGCATGTGCTCTCTCTCTAATAAATACATAAAATCTTAAAAAAAAAACAAAAAAGAAGTGGACGACTCTAATTGAAACAGGAAGTGGTGCCAGAGAGTATACCTTCTCTGCACTACTTTTGGTCCCGAATGGGCTCCATGGAATGCCTAGAGCTCTGAATTGCATAATTCTAAATCACTATTCTAGACATCACTAAAGGATGTTTGCGCAAGCTACCCACTGAAGAAGAGTATGAGAAAGGGCATTGAGATATCTCAGCATAACTAGAATGCTTGAGGTCTGACTTTGGTCAGTTATTTTAAGAATACACTTGATTGGTATTGTCTATACTTAGCACTCTTACCCCCTTCCTACCCCAGGCAACTATGGAGGGAGTTCCACTGGGCTGTATGATCTCAAAGACCTTACTCTTCCATTATGTTAATTTTATATATCTTAACAGACATCCTTGGAAAAATATTTTCCTTACATCTACTCTCAAAATGTGACTTCCAATTCTGATCAAATTAGAGTACATCCAGTATGACTTATCTCTCTGATTACAACTAAAAACTCTGGACAAAATACACAAAAACAATGACCTGTGGACTCTTAAAAGTATATGAAAGCAGGCAGATTGTGGAGTGGAGTCAAAACTTGAAGAAGCAACACATTTGAGAATAGTGTTCTGTTGTTACCCCTCTTTTATTTCTTGGCTTTGCCCCAAGGGCAGGCCCATCCTGCAGAACTGTTCAGCAGCAGTGATATGAGCAGGTAAAACTCTAAAAAGAAACCTCCCCTTTCTGCACAGAAGAATTGGGAAAAGGGACCTCTGTGGGGGGCAGAGAACAGAAGAGGAAACCTGGAAGGAAGTGAGGTTGAGAAGAGAATTCCTTAATACTGTGTAAGAAACTATACCAGTCCCTAGTTTCCTCTTGAGCTGGATATTCACAGGACAGACCCAAAGCTGCCTAGCAAATGCTTTGAGAATTGAACTAAGAATTAAACCTCCCACCAGGTCTCAGAGGGAAATAAAGGGAGTCCACCAACATGGATCACTGCACGGTCAGTCAGAGCTGCTATATATCTTTATTACCTCAAGGGGTAGGTGATGTAGGCATCATAGCCAAAGAGGCATGCAGCAACAAGGCCCAGTGCCCCTGCAATGATTATGGAGCGATTTCCTCTGTCGACAAGGACAACAATGGAGGTGATTAGGTAGAAGGTGATGGCAGTGAAGGACCGGAAGAAATCAGTCCAAGGCCAGTTGATGGATTGTATCTTGGTGGGTAGGTCACACATGTAGACGACAAAGAAGATCTCAGCAAGGATCATCTCAACCACTGACAGAGTGGAGTATCCTGGTGTTGAGATGCTGAACCAGATTCGAATCACCAGGCACAGTATAGTCTCAGCAAATAGGAGAGTTCCCTTTCTGGTGCACAAGAAATTGGTGAAGGCAGTCCAGCAGCCATGGGCTGAGAGGCGCTCAGACTCCACCATGGTGAGACCTGGAGTTCCTGGAGACACGAAGGATCTGCACACTTGAAGGAGGGTTCCAGGATGCTATACACCCAGCTGTTTTGCTTGCTGTCTAAAAAGTGATTTTGAAAACTTGCAGTCTGAAGCTAACTGAGTTGACCACCTGCTAAAACAGTAATGATGATGATTATGATGGTGATAATAATAATAATAATACCCCTTAGAGAATTTTAATAGGATTCATATCTATAAATTTAATGATCAAAAAGTCCAGAATAGGGCGCCTGGGTGGCTCAGTTGGTTAAGCGACTGCCTTCAGCTCAGGTCATGATCCTGGAGTCCCGGGATCGAGTCCCGCATCGGGCTCCCAGCTCCACGGGGAGTCTGCTTCTCCCTCTGACCTTCTCCTCGCTCATGCTCTCTCTCACTGTCTCTCTCTCTCAAATAAATAAATAAAATGTTTAAAAAAAAAAAAAGTCCAGAATACAATTCAAAATTATCTAATGAGCAAATAACTAAGAAATGTGGTTCTTTGGGAATTATTAAGGGAAAAGACAATGAACAGGTACAAACTCTAAGATAACACAGATGCTGAAATTTAAAGACTTTAAAACAATAGGTACTATAATAAGCTCCATGAGATAAAGGTAAACACACACTAAATAAAATGCATAGAAAGATAAAAGTACTCAGCAAAAAATTAAATTATAAAAAAAGAACAAAATAGCTTTAAAACATCCAATCTCTGAAATTTACTGGCTGAACTCAATAGAAGAATGAAGATGACAGAGAAAAGGATCAGTGAACTTGTAGATTAATGAAAATCATTCAGTCTGAAGAACAAAGAGGAAAAAATTGGGAAGAGATGAATAGAACTTCAGGAAGTCATGGGACTATATTAAAAAATCTGACATTTATAACAGTGGAGTCCTATAAAGAAACTGATGCATAAAAAATTTTTAAGGAAACAATGGCTGAAAACTTCCTAAATTTGGTGAGAAACATTAACTTGTATATTTAAGAGGTTGACATAAAACAGAATAAACTCAAAGAAAATCACACTCAGACACATTATAATCAAACTACTGAAAACTAAATGTAAAGAAAAAAATCTTAAAGGCAGCTAAGGAAAAAATGACAAATATAGGAAAACAATGATGTTAATAATGATGGTGGAATTCTCATCAGAACCCATGGAGAACAGAAAATAGTAGAACAACATTTTAAAAATGATAGGAAAGAACTATTAACCCAACATTCTATATCCAGCAAAACTATCTTTCAGGAATGAAGGAGACATAAAGTTCTTAGATGAAGACAAACTAAAAGAACACATGGTAACTAAAATAAATGATAAAGAAAATTCTTCAGACTGAAGGAAAATAATACTAGAAGAAACTTGGAACTTTAGGAATGAAAGAAGAATAAAAACAGTAATATCTGAGTAAATATAAAATACTTTTTTTAAAGTTCCTTAAAATATGTGTAATTATTTTTTTAACATTTTTTGAAGTAGGCTCCACACTCAATGTGGGGCTTTAACTCATGACCCCGAGATCAAGAGTTGCAGACTTTACTGAGCCAGCCAATTACCCCCAAAATATGTGTAATTATTGGAAGAAAAATTTTCACATTGTCTGTAGGGTTTTATTTTTAATTTTTTGCTTATTTGAGAAACAGAGACAGCACAAGCAGTGGGAAAGGTCAGAAGTAGAAGGAGAAGCAGGCTTCCTACTGAGCAGAAAGCCCAACATGGGACTCAATCCCAGGACCCTGAGCTGAAGGCAGACACTCAACCAACTGAGCCACCCAGGTGCCCCTGTCTGATGGGGTTTTAAATGCATGTTAATTTAGGGGCACCTAGGTGACTCAGTCAGTTAAGCATCCAACTCTTGATTTTGGCTCAGGTTGTGCTCTCAGTGTCATGGGATGGAGCCCTGAGTTGAGTTCCATGCCCAGCAGGGAGTCTGCTGGAGATTCTCTGTCCCCTCTCCTGCTGCTGTTCCCCTGCTTGTGTGCTCCCTCCCTCCCTCCCTCCCTCCCTCCTTCCTTCCCTTTCTCCCTCTCTCTTTAATAAACAAATACATTTTTTTAAATAAATTTAAAAAATGAATGCATGTTAATTTAAAACACATGACAACTATAACATAAAGGGAAAAGAGTAAGGGATTTATGTAGTAGAAATGTACAAATGTAGGGGCGCCTGGGTGGCTCAGTGGGTTAAAGCCTCTGCCTTCGGCTCAGGTCATAATCCCAGGGTCCTGGGATCGAGCCCCGCATCAGGCTCTCTGCTCAGCAGGGAGCCTGCTTCCTCCTCTCTCTCTGCCTGCCTCTCTGCCTACTTGTGATCTCTCTGTCAAATAAATAAATCAAATCTTTAAAAAAAAAAAAAAAGAAATGTACAAATGTAGAAATGTAATATTTCTACATATTACTTAAAAATTAAAACATTACTCTAAGTAGACTCTAAAATGTTAAATATTCTACTGTACTATCAAGAGCAGTGTTTAAAATATAAAATAGAATATAAATAGATAAAATATAATAGTAAAACCATTTAACTACCCCAAAACAGGTAGGAAAGAGGAAAAAGGCAAACAAAAAAATATGTAGAAAAATAGTAGGCCTAAAACCAACCACACCAATTATATTATAATTATATTAAATAATTATTTTAAATGTATATGGTAAACACACCAATTAAAAGATAAAAGTAGTCACATTGGATTAAAAAAATCTACATGTTCTTCTCAGGAAACCTAGTTTAAATATTAAAAAAACTTAAAAATGAATGGATGGAAAAGATGTATTATGCAAACAATGATCAAAAGGAATCCAGAGTAGCTAGTTTTTTAAAAGATTTTATTTATTTATTTATTTGAGAGGGAGAGAATCTTTCTCCCACACATGAGTTGGGGGAGGGCAATGTGAGAGGGAGAAGCAGAATCCCCACTGAGTAGGGATCCCTATACGGGGTCTGATCCCAAGACCCTGAGATCATGACCTGAGCTAGCCAAACATGGCCTGTTTAACCAACTGAGGCATCCAGGTGCCCCTGGAGTGGGTATTTTAATATTAGACAAGGTAAACTGCCAAACAAGGAATATTATTAGGATAAAAAAAGGACATTAGAGAATTGTAAGATGGTCACTTACCAAGAAGACATAACAATATTAAGTGGGTACACACCTAGTAATGAGACTTTACATAAAATACCTGGAAGCAAAAATAAATCTTTTTTTTTTTTAAGATTTTATTTATTTATTTGACAAAGAGCAAGAGCGGAAACACAAGCTGAGGGAGTGGGAGAGGGAGAAGCGGGCTTCCCGCTAAGCGGGGAGCCCAGTGTGGGGCTTGATCCCAGGACCCTGGGACCATGACCTGAGCGGAAAGCAGGTGCTTAATGACTGAGCCACCCAGGCACCCCAGCAAGAACACATCTTGACAAATTCAAATAAATTAAAACAATACAAAGTATGTTAATTGAACATAATAAAATATTATAAATCAACAACAGAAAGATAATTCTCTTTTAGTTTTGCATATGGGTGTCAAATTGATCACAGTTGCTGAAAAACTAATTTTTCACCACTGAGTTCTTTGACAAACCTGTAAAACGCCAGTTGACCAATTTGTATGAAACTAAACTCTGTTTTATTCAATGGATCTATATGTTTATCCTTTACTAGTACTATACTGTCCTGATAACCATAGATTTATAGTAAGTTTAAATCAGGTAGTGTGTTTTCCCATTTCAAAATTGTTTTGGCTATTGTAGGTCCTTTATGAAATGTTAGAATCAACTTGCTAATTTCTGCAAAATACTCTGTTGAGATTTCAATGGACACTACGTTAAAATTATAGATCATTTTGGGCAAATTAATATTCTAAAAAGCCTTCCAATCCATTAACATAGTATACTCTCCATTTGTTTGGGTCTTCTTCTATTTCTTACATCAATAATTTACAATTTCTAGCATATATGTTGCTAGATTATACCTAAATATTTCATATGTTATCATAGTTTTTTTTTTTTTTTTTAAGATTTTAGGGGCGCCTGGGTGGCTCAGTGGGTTAAGCCGCTGCCTTCGGCTCAGGTCATGATCTCAGGGTCCTGGGATCGAGTCCCGCATCAGGCTCTCTGCTCAGCAGGGAGCCTGCTTCCCTCTCTCTCTCTGCCTGCCTCTCTGTCTACTTGTGATCTCTCTCTGTCAAATAAATAAATAAAATCTTAAAAAAAAAAAAACTTTAAAAAAGATTTTATTTATTTGAGAGAGAATGTGAGCAAGCATAAGCTGGTGGAGATGCAGAGAGGGAGGGACAAGCAGACTCCCTCTCTGAGTGGGAAGCCCAACATGGGATGGGGCTTGATCCCAGAACCCTGAGATATAAAATGAGCCAAAGTCAATCCTTAACCAACTGAGCCACTCAGGGGCCCCACTAACAGAGTTTTTGAATTTCAATTTCTAATAGTTTTTGCTACTTTATTAAAGTAGAATTGATGTTTGTATATTGACCTTGAATCTTATGACTCTCCTAAATTCACTTACTATCTCCAATAGCTGTCTTATACATTCTTTGGGGTTCTCTATTTGTTGTCAGTCAACAAAAAGAGGTTTCTTTCTTTTCAGTCTGTGTTTATATTTCTTTTTCTTGTCTTTTTGCACTGGGTTGTCCCTCTAGTACAGTGTTAGATAAAAGCAATGAGGGTGGACGTCCTTTCTTTGCCTGATCATAAAGAAAAGCATTCAGTCTTTCACCATTATGTTAGTTACAGATGTTCTCTACTAAAATAGGGGAAGTTTCTTTTTATTCTTGGTTTGATAAGCTTTCTAAAAATTCCACTATAGATGTTTTTTTCTGCACCTCTTGAGATGATTATGTGGTTTTCCTTTTGTATTTTGTTGGTATGGTAAATTACAGATTTACCAAAAGAACAGATTTTTTTTTAAAGATTTTGTTTATTTATTTGACAGACAGAGATCACTAGTAGATAGAGAGGCAGGCAGAGAGAGGGGGGA